TTCTTCTTAGCTTCAATGACTCTTGTGGCTTGACTCTCAACTATTAATTTGATGTTTTTGCTCTCTTTTTCCTCTTTTCCTTTTAAAAGTCTTTCAAAAGGTTGTTTTTATAGACTTTGAAGTTAGGTCAAGTTGGGTTAAGAAAGAAGTCAATTTCAACTAGGATTTCCTCATCCGACTATGTGAGTCACAACCTTACCCAAAAATCATAATTGTTTTAGGACTGTTACAGTACGTCAATTTTGACAAGCGTTTTGACTACCTACTAGGCCGAACTAAGTGAAGTGCTAAACATGAAAGTTATAGATTTTTCTCTTATCTTCCAATAGTTCAAGAATGGCTTCATTTGGAGCCCTGTAAAGAGAGTTATGGTCAAATACCGAAACATGTACAGTGGAAGCCTGCATCTCAAAATTGCTTTCCTTCTTTCATTAAAATTCTTCTTTCATCAAACACCTACAAAAGTACAAATAAATCAATAATAGCCTATCTTAACCACATTAACACCAAATTAAGTATAAAATTAACTAAGATTAGATTTACTCATCTAAATTAACTAATTTAAAATAATTAAATAAAACCTATTAATTTTTATGCATTACAACAAGAACTACATTAATTTATTATCAAAATTAAACCCAAACAACTCTATATCTTAGAGTTATCACCTATAATCAGCCGTATGAGTTTTACCTATATCCCTCCATTGCATACTCCTTTAAACACAATCTCTATTGCTTTTTTTCTCATCGAAATAACTAAAAATTCCCACACTGCTTTACAACTTCTTCCCCATTTTAATCTCTGCAAGGATTCATGCATTTAGTTTCATTATGGCCCATAACTCCACATCTATAACAAAATCTAATAAGCCTTTGGTATTGAAAGGTAATCCATTTAACTTGGTTTTCATCCAATGAAAGAAGCATTACTTTCCGCAAGGGTTTATTTAAGTCTAGTAGTACCCGAATTCTAATGAAACTATCTCTTAGATCACCATTTTCACCATCAACCTTCATAAACTTTTCCAGCACATTCCCAATTGCAGTAGCCACTTCTTTATCCATGAACCTTATTGGTAGTCCCGTCACATGAAGCCAAAACTCCTCTTTTCCGAAATCAACCTTTTCAGGCTCCATAAACTCCACATCAAACTCTTTCAAAACCATAAGATTTTTGTCAAATGACCACGGCCTTCAATCTTTTACGTTCATAATCTCCTTTATCGTCAAAATTAAACAAAAAATTACTATCTTTAATCTCCTTCACTACATCCCTATCTATTTCCCATCCTTTCCATATTGAACCAATCAAGTAGTGGCACATACATTCTATCAATGGATCAGAACTTGGTTCTCTATTAAACTGAAATTGACATGCTTCATCCTTGGATAACTTAAAATTTTTCCACTTGTTGATATCCTCCATCTTGTTATGTTCAACCTTCAGTAAACTAATCTCTAACCCTAATCCACACCAGCCAAAACCCAAAAATCAAATTTGATAGCCACCCTTGTTTCACCCTAAGATAAGACGTAGGCTCTTATAAACCTTAGGTTTAAAGAGACATTAAGTTTTAAGTTTAAGTCAATTTTTTATTCATGTTATATTAATAAAGAATTTGATCTTTCATATCATCCACATATATTTGACCTTATCAAAACGTGAAACAACAATGTTAAGTAAATTTCACTTTCAAATTCTACATCAACGATGCAAAAGTGACACTAAAAACATTTTAAAAAAATGTATAAGTATTTAGTTTACTGATAAATGTAAGCATCTCAAAGGGTCAGACTCAAATTTGAGATTGTGCCACAATTAGTGTGGCTAAAAGGTGATGTGCCACGACAAAGTAAAGACTAGCAAAAAGCAGTTTTGTTTTTTAATTGAAGTAAGGTCAATAAAGTAAGAGGGCATGTGTGACGTCTCTTTCCCATTCAATTTCTTTCTGCTACATTGATCCTCAGCAAGGCCATTTTCCTCTGGGCTCTTTTCTTTGCAGCTTAATTTCCCTCTCAAACCCCATACCTCTACCCAGAAAACAAAACCTTCCTTCTTAAAATCATTAAAAAGTAATCATTTGAAGTTTCGTTTAATTTTGCAAGACAAAAAATTAAGAGTTGAATTTAATTTTTTGATCAGAAAAATATATACATTTATTATTGAGTCAAAATTCAAATTAATTTTTATTCTTCTGTTACATTTAATCAAACTGTTATATTTTTATTTTAAATTAAATACGCTCTTTTAACTAATTGTTTGATTGATTGTTTATCATTAATCAAAAATATAACTTATCATTTATTATTTTTATACTACAATGTATCAACATGTCATAATAAATAATGATGGACAAGATAATACGATCACGTGATATTTTTCACCCTTCATGTCAGTATCACATTATATTATAATAAATAATGATAGACAAGATGATAGGGTCACACGATATTTTTCATCTTTCATGTTAGTATCACATGAGTATAAAATAACAAGCGACATTTTAATAAATAATAATAAATCACTTGTTAATTATAAAATTATATTTGACTTAAAATAAAAATATAAAAATTTAATTAAATAAAATAAAAAATAAAAAATTATTAAAATTTTTTTAATAATTCAAAAATCATTTGAAAACAATATCGTCAAAGATCCCAAAAATTGTAATAATGAAAGCTTGATAGTTAAAGAGGCCCACTTGAATATTCCAAATTATTAAAAATAGTATAAAGCTTTGTGTACCCACTCCATAAGTCGGTGGAATTGTTAATGTCACTATTTGCGTTTGCAATAACAGACGATTGGCACAAGAAAGGAATTAATAGATTTTGTTTACAAAAAGTTCAAACCAATCAACCACCCAACCAATAAGGAAAGAAACATGTTTATCTTTCATTCTTTTAACCTTGCCCACACACATTGCTTGGGGATTTGATCCCAAAATTCAAGAAGCATCTACGTACTTCGATTTCTCATACAATTTCCAGGCAGCCATTAATTACAAGTTAAATGCTAATCAAGACAATTTTAATATAAATAAATTAACATTTATAAATAGTCAAATTATTAATTTTTTAGGTACAAGAGAAAACCCTATGACCTAAAGATCTATAACCCATTCTCACCTTATCTTGACCACTTCAACTAAACACGTTGTTTTGTATTATGCAATGAAATATAATTTTTGTTTTTCTTATCTTATAAAATTACCCTTCCAAAAT